TCACATTTTGTAATTAGCATAAGGGCTTTAGCAGAGTCAGAGAGCTGGACCCCTACAGACTGGAGAGTTTTAGCAAAAATTTGTCTTTACTCTGCAGAATCTCTCCAATATCAAATGCTGTGGAAGGAAGCAGCCTTTTCAGGAGCACACAAGAATGCTGAGGATGGGATAGATAAAGGAATTCATCAATGCTAGGAGATGAGAATTATATCACAGTTAAATCTCAACTACAGTTTACTGAACAGACAATAGGACAGATATGTGAAGTTTGCTTAAATGCCTGGGAAAAAAAATAATTCCATCAGAAGAGAGAAAGCCAAGCTACACAGCTATAAGACAGTGGAATGATGAATCTTATGCTGACTTTGTGTCCCAACTGGAAGATGCTATTTCCAAATGTGTGAAAAATGTCCAGGCAGTAAGAGACCTACTGCATAAGCTATCTTATGATTTCTCTAATAAACACTGTAAAAATGCCTTGCGTCCCTACAGGGAACAGGGCACACTGCTAGATTATCTCAGAATATGCAGGAATGTAGAGACAGAGGAATACAAAGCCAACCTCATAGCAGCTGCATTGGCAAATTATATCAGACCTAGAAGAAAATGCTATAGTTGTGGGAAGACAGGTCATCTGCAAAGAGATTGTAGGCAGCACAGGACAGTCAGCCTAGCAAGTTGCAGCCTGTGTTTGAACATGATCCAGGGCCATAGAGATTGGGTTTAAAGGAACCTGAACTCTGGCCCCGCTATAGGAAGGGAACTCATTGGGTGAGTCAATGTCGTTCAAAATTCAACAATAAAGGACTGCCATTAGCAAAGGCTTCCTGGTGGGAAAAGAGTGGAAGGAGTTTGATACAGAACCCTGCCTAGCAAAGAAGATCTTAAAGAGAAACTGCAGATATCACCCAAGTTCACAGCAGAAGACCAGACCTAGCCAAACAGGCAAAAGCCCAGCCCCTGTTCTGGCTGCAATAAGCTGACTAACCCAGAAATGGCTCAGAAGCCCTTGCAGCAGCCTGTTGATTCCAAAAAGCAGGAGCCCGTTTTTGAAAGAGTAATACAGTTTCTATCAGGAAGATTTAACCTAAATAGTCAAGGAATTAATGATACTAGATCAGAATTGTAAGGAAAAGCCTAAAGCTGTGATTAAATAAAGAATTATTAAGAGCGGTAATTGGGGTCCACTACCAAAAAGAACTATGGGATGTTTATTAGGAAAGTCCAACATAAATTCTCAAGGTGTTGCTGGAATTATTGATCAGGATTATGAAGAAATTAAGGCAGTGATAAACTCTGATATACCATGGTTTATAAAGAAGGAAGATCGCGTAAGCCAATTTTCACTTCCTTGCATTCCTAGAGTGAAAATGTATGCCTATCAGGAAAGAGTACTTGAGAAGTCTGACCACCTTTTAAATGAAGGAGTCTTCTGGAATGCTGTGGTGGGGAAACTACAGCGCCCCCACATGGAATTAGAAATTGAAGGGAAAAGGTTTTTAAGCTCTGGATATGGGGTCATTGCCTTAGGGCATTCAGAAGGGCCTAAGACCCTCCCATTAACTTCCCCTAAATTCAGCTTGGAAGGAATGAGTGAAATTAACCAAGAGACTATTTCAAGATTGTAAAATCATACAGTGTAAGAAGCCTGAAGAGCAATATGGCTTAATTGAGTCAGTAACCTTACTGGTAAACTTAGAGAAAAAAATGTCTGTTTGTTAAGTTACCTCAAGAACAGCTGAACAAATTTATTAAGAATTTTTTCAGTCTTTCAAAGTATGGTAAGAAGTTCTCCCAATTAATTAGCTCTCTTAATTCTCTGAAAGCTGAGAGCCAAAATTTACATGTTAGCTCTCCAGATTCTCTGAGAGCTGGAAGCAGAAATTTACATAACAATAAGGGCTATCGAACTAGTAGTTTTACTGGTTCAAGACCAAGCAAGGTAACTGAGACTGCTAGCAATGCTTTAATACTTACATGGTTAAAACAGAAGGGGGAGAAGAGGAATCTTATGTATGATGAATTTCATTTGGTCAATTTAACAAAAAATTTTTCCTCCTTACTAAAAGCTTGTAACAAAATTAGGGCAGATAAACACATTTTCACTTCTACATAGAAGATGATTCTAAGAAATCCCAAGAAGATGGGAATTGCGTTTGGGATCCGGGTCCATTCGTCACCTGGAGAAAGGGCTGTACATTTATGTTTTGGCAGAACAAAGCTGATGGACGCCCTTTAGAAGGACGCAGCCATGTTTGGAGAAAGATGGACATGAAGGACACGAAGGAACCGCAAAAGCTTAATCACAATTCTTTTTCCAGAACACTGACACCCCGAAGAGAGGGGCTATTTGTTTATATTTTCACAGGCAAAGGAGATAGGTGGATTTCTCTTCAGCCAGCAAGGCCCAGAAGAAAGGAGGGACACCGATGCTGTGCCGTGGCCCCATCCTGCTTACTGAAGCTATCCAAAACATCGAGAAGACCTCACAAATTCCTGAGAATGGCGATTGCTGACTGCTGAGATATCTCTTCCATTGCTGACGCTGTCTAAGAGACACTCTGGGACTCTTATCAAAGCTGAACATTTTATACAATAGTGACTGGACTATTACTACAAACTGTTGCTTTGCTGAAAGATCAAGATTTTGGACTTGTCAATGCTATAATGTGACTGGAATATATGTAACTGATTTCTGTGTAGCTCCTTACCTATATTATGTAACATTGCATGTTTGGGATTTGATCAGGAAACATTTGCAAGAGTTTAAGGGAAACATTTCATTAGATGTTGATCAGCTTAAGAAGGATATTTTCTATACATTCAAAGACAGACTTGAGGCATCTCCTGGCTCTGATATGATTAAGCAATTGGTGAATGGCATGGAAGGGTTGGACCCGCGAGCTTGGGCTCAAAGCATTTCACATAGCTTAAATTCTAGCCTGACTGTGTTTTTTATCATCATAATTTTGATGCTTCAGTCTCCTGTCGCTTCTATAGGAAGCTAAGAGATATGAAAAAAGACCATGTTGCCTCCATGACACCATTAAATCTTAAACATGCAGAGAGGGAAAATGTGGGATACTAGCACCAAGGGAAATAGAACTGGGACTTATTCCCTGACTGGTCTGGAGGGAATCTGGAAGACTAGTATCCCATGGCAGGAAGACTGCCACTCTGGTAGTTGGAGATATGGTCTGAGAACATTTTCCTGTGGTAGGCTATTATTTCCACAGTTTCTCCCTTCAAGCTGTGCTGCCTTAAGGTAATGAAATGGTTGATTCATTCTCCCTATACAAGTAGACATTCCTATTTGCTCATTTTCTTCCTGCCATGGCATTTATCCCCTCTCATACCTTCCTCCCAATAGAAGATGGGCTTAGGGGGACTTTATCCTCCATGCCTGGATTCAAA